GTGTATCTATGTCTTTCCCTAACGACCACTAGACATAAAATGCAAAAATATCAACAAATGCAAAATGTTAATCAATCAAACAATGAAAATAGTACATGCAAATTGCTCTATGCTCTTATTCCCCCCCCCCCCCTTGCTGAATGGAATACTAACAAAATCAAACAGAGCAATAACATATAATAACTTAAAAATGTAGCTAATAGCAAGTAAAATACAACTAAAATTAATATACTTTAAACCTTCTCACATACTCAGTTCAGATCAGAATTGAGTAAATAGTACAAGTGGCTCATGTATGTAAAGTGTCACTATTCCAATGTAAGCGGGGCTTTAAACCTTAATTTTGTGAGAAGGGACGTGTCAATCACTACCAATAAGTATATTTCCCTATTAATAAAAGTCAAACAATGAAAGTGCAGTAAGACCTATACTTATTATTTTTTTTATTTTTCTCCCCATACTTTGAGCATTTATATTTTTCAATTTTCTATATTTTTTCAGCCCTTCATATTTTTCACATTTTTCACATTCTTCAAATTCATTTATTTTTCATCTTAAGTGCAGGTTCTTCTCCATTAAACAACTGAGATGACTTCTATAAAGAGCTTTAGGCCATTTAATCCAGATCAGTTGATTATAAACACCAGGTTTTAAGAGACCCCAAACAGACTTAATTGCTCGAGTCAAATAGGCTAAGATAATAATCTTTCACATGGGGAATCTTTTTGGGCTTTGGTCTACTAAATTAGGTCAATTCATGTTCGAAGTCACTCTATTAACATGTGACAGTCATCCCAAATCTCACACACGTAATAGAGTCCCACTAACAAATTCATAGTGTGTATAGTGTAGATGGTAGATAAAGACACCTATCTTAGTAATCCAAAGTCACCTAAACAAATAATAGAAATTATTCTACAGCTTATCAATTCAGCTCATACATGATCACAACATGTAAATTCAAGAAACATATTTCATGCTGTAGAAGTGTTCTATAACCAACTATTTTGCGTTTTTCAAATTTTCAATTTTTTTGTGTTTTTCATTTTTCCAAAAATGAATGCTCACACACAAAAGAGAAAAAATAAAGTCAAGTACACAAAACAAATATAAAATATGCATGTACCAAAGCAAACCAGTGTAAATGCACATGCATGAAATCAAAAACAAAGCAAAATAAAAACCTACAAGTGATGCATGCACAGATAATATGACAGTTAAGAACAGGCATGCATAAAAAATACCTAATCATCTAGGTATATGATTGCCCTTTTCCCTTAAAAGCACCATGATCTACTACCAGATTTGGCATATCACTCTTCTTCATCCAAACCTGCCTAGTGGGAGAACAGTTTCCAAACAGTTGTGTCACCAATTTGGTCAAACGATTTACTTGATCGGTAAGGAATCCTATCTGACCAACATATACATGATTTTTGTACTTTTTCAAGTTCATGATTTTTCTTTTGTTCAGGTACTTATGATATATAGACCTAGGACCTGTGTTATATGAACACTGATGTCTATTCCTACGTCAACAAGTCTTACACTGTTTGGTAGACCTTTGTCCTACAAATCCCTTAAGCACATGTTTAGGTTAGTCTTTGGCTGGGACAAATGTGGTCTTAGACGTGCTAGCGACATCATGGTCTTTTTCATTATATACTAGACCTCCTCTATTTCCAAGCGACTTGCCTATACCTAGCATGTTATCTAACTTAGACGACCCACTGGTGAAGGCAAGAAGTTGAGACTTAGAATGCTCTAATTCGCTCACAAGGTTCACAACCTGAATGTCTAAAGTCTCATTCATGGCGGTCAACTTCCTGACTTTCTTAGAGGACCTCTCAAGCTCATTGGTGAAATTCTTAACCTGAGACTCTAAAACTTCATTTATCAACTTAAGCTCACTCAGGACAGTGGAAGAATTCTTAACGTAGGCTTTTAACTTAGCTTTCTCCAATTGCAACTCCTGAACAGTCGTACTTTAAGGCCTTATTTTTATTGAGAAGTTTCAAGCTCTCCTGATACATTTTCTTATAGGCCTCTTCAATATCTTCATCACTCAAGGACTCATCACCAGAATCCTCACCACTCTCTATGTCCTTAGCTCTCCCACTCCCATGTTCGGATCCACTCTTAATCCTAGCAATCAATGCAACATATTTTTCACTTTCCTCACGAGTAGATTTCTCACTTTGATGTCCGAACTAGAGTCGTTATCAGTGATAATAGTATTCATAGCTTTCTCTTAGACTCTCCTAGCATTAGGGCACTCTCTCTTAACATGACCCATACATTGACAATTATGGCACCTCACAGATTTGGATCTTCTCCTAGGTTTACTAGCACCACCTCTCAGTCTCTCTTGTAGCTTCTTTTTATTCCTAAGCATCTTACAAATTTTTTTAGCTAGGTTTGCTATCTCCTCATTATTGGGTGAATTTGAGTAAGAAGATTCGGTTCAATTATTCCTGGTAAATTTCAAGGCCAAGGACTTTTCCTTAGCTTGATTGCTTACGGTGAGCTCATAGGTCTGGATGGATCCAACTAGCTCGTCTAGCTTGATAATGTCTATGTCTTTACTTTCCTCAATGGCCATGATTTTAGGCCTAAAACGCTCGAGTAAAGATCTAAGGATTTTTCTCACTATCTTAGACTCAGAGATTTTCTCACCTAGGTTGAAAGATGAATTCACAATGTCATTTAAGCTCGAATAGAATACAGCAAATGTCTCATCTTCTCTCATCCTGATCTCTTTGAATCTAGTAGCCATCATCTGCAGTTTTGAGTTTTTAACCACCTATGTTTCCTCATGTGTGGTTTCTAAAATATTCTAAACTTTTTTCGCTACCTCACACATCGACACTCTCCTAAATTCATCGAGAAAAATAGCCATGAAGAGCGCATAAAGAGCTTACTATTCTAGTTGCACCTATCTAGTTTAGCCTTAGACCAATTTTCTATTTGGACGGGAGTAACAACATTGTCAACCATTGTAGGGCAGACAAACTGTTAACTACGCTCAACCAAATCCTTTCATCCATAGATTTCAAGAATGTCCCCATTCTAACTTTTCAATAGGCATAATTACTACCACCAAAATAGGGCAGCACACTCACCGGGGCACTCATCTAGACAATGTAAGGTAAAGACACGTGTTTAGCTAATACCACTTGAAAAGTCTTGCCTCGAATGCTGTGATAACGCTTAAAAGTTCGTAGGATGCTGCGATCGCCAATTCAAATTTTAGTGTTACCAAGTTTACGTTCTAGATTATGAATTAGTTCGATCTTACGTGCGGAATTGACTAATTAAAGCAAACACGTCACTTTTAATTAGTTTCTAGATGATTAAGTATACAATTCAATTAACCATATGTTTGAATACTGCAGTTTGTAATAAATTACTGGAAAATAAAGAACACAAAATTTGATGAACGAGAAACCAAACATGGGAAAAATTTTGGGATCAAGCCAGTTACCTCCACTATAGACAGTTCAAGAATACACAACAATTTCAACACTTGTATCCACTAAGACCCGCTGCTACAATCACACGATCTACTGCCATAGATATCTCTAGCCTGCTAGACTTCCTAATCTATCTCCTGCTACCGTAGATACCTCTAGCCTTCTGCAGACCAATCTGCTGTCTTCTACAGTCTCCTGGCCTTATGCTAAATGTCTCTCCAAATGGAACACCAAGAACCACATGTTCTTGTGCTTGCAACTGCGCTTCAGTCCACCTCTCTCAATCCCTCAATGAGAGAGTCTCTTCCTCAATGAATTAAGGATGCTACGTATTTTCGATTACAAAGATGTAATGTTTTTCCAAAACATCACAAGAATGAATATGATGGATTCACCAATGAATTACACCTTGGATCTCTTGAACAATGATATGAAAATGTTATAGATATGAAAGCACAATTAGCAACCCTTGAAAATCATCCATGACTTTTGTATTTATAGTTTGGGGCGAATAGGTGTCCATGTAAAACTCTTCAAATCGTGACCTAGGGTTTGGCTGGATACAACTGTCACTCGATCGAGTAGCCAGCGATAAGCAAGCAACAATTGAGTAGTCATCAGTATTTTCATCGTAACTTTCTCTTCCAATATCCTATTAAGGCGATTCAAAATGCATTGGGAATCTCACTCAAAGGGCTACAAATCTTCTAGAAATAGCTCTATCCAAATTCCAATGTTTTCTATGCAAAAAAATGAGTTGCTAGTTAGGACTAAGAATTTGGAACATAACTTGTGCAGCTTTTGATATCGTTAAGACTTCTAATTGCATTACAATGATCATATGTGATCTTCTTGGACATATTGAATTCTTTCAAGAACTATACTACCAGCACCAAATGATTTTTTTTTACTTTTACAACTCTTTTACATTTAATCCATTTGTCTAAAGATTGCCAATACACTAGAAACCTAACAATATGTGTACAAGTACGCTAACCCCGAAAATCGAATAAAATATTTTAAAAACTCTCGAGATAGCAAAGACGAAAATGTGGAACTCTGAGATTAGTTTTGATTCTCCTTGTGGAATGGACCCAACTTAGGATATATTATGAGCTTGAATGACAACAGTTGCACATGTAGAAAGTTTCAATTTGAGATTTTTCATGTATGTATATAGACGCAGTCGCTATGTATCGAGGATTCCTAGCACACTTGTTCTGCTCTCATTATTACACGGTTACTTTTTGAAGAGCGGCATATATCAAAATTAAATTTCTCATGCCAAATAAAGTCGAATGGGAAGTGCTCGACCATATTGGCCAACTTAATAATTTTTTGCCACCTCTAGTTTGACGACATGTTGGTCTTAAACCTATGGCTATAATATCATCTACTTAAGATTTTTTATTTGTTTTTTATTTTTTATTTTTATTTTTTTTGGCTATGTAACTATGTCAAAGTATGGCAAATGTGCGGTAATAATTTTACAACTCTTCTACACTACCAGAAGAATGAATCACAGAATTAATAAAGACAAGGGTGGGAGATTTTTTTGGCATTTTTTTATCAAAGCATCGACCCCACACACATAAATCTCTTCTAGTAAAATTTTGTGAGAATATTTCTGTACAAATAGAATAATACATAATTTTAACATTCAAGGTATCCAATGCCTGCCAGTTAAGCATCTTCAGGCAACTTAACTTCTTTTATTATTGCCCACTTGGCTGCCAATGTCGACATGGTCTCGTACTTCCATACCTGCAACACCCATAGGTATTAAATATTGAAATTTAATAAATGTCAATATAAAAAAGATCAACATTTAGTAGATGATGTATTTATGCTCGACCTTTGACGACTTGGACGACTTCTCCCTCTTAAAAACACGCAACAAATATGACACTTTTGACCCCATGAATAGTTGTCGAATGCATCAAAATTGTTTACAACATCCAAAGAAAAAGATCGATGGATACCTTATGGTATTTGCATCTCAGCGAGGTCTCCACGATAAACATCAATCTAAGCTTGTATTTATCCTCCATAACTGAGCATCCCATCAAATGCAGTCTCCAACTCTGCAAGCTTAATAATAGACATTTCTCAAAAATATTTGTTCAATAAGATTTTGTTTCGACGAATATTGGACCTAGCCTTCTTCATTCTGAGAGTTTAACCCTATAATGAGGGTAAACTCAAATATAGAGAACTAAGCCACCTTTCTGCATCCGAAAAAGTAGTATGTGATGTTTATCTATAGCCTCTAGCACCTTTTCAATATTTTATAAATTATAGTTCAAGGTAACCTTTCCTAGCTATTCACTCAATCTAGAATCAAGAGCTTACTCCATCCTAAATAACATATAAATATCCGAAGCTTATATTAAAATATACTCGCTCTGTGCCATTTATATACGATTGTTTTGTTTTTCACACCGATTAAGAAATCTTATTTAATATTATTGAAAAAGCAGTTTTTGCCATGAACTTTCCTAATTAATCCTTATTTATGATTGTACAATTTCAAGATTAAGTGAAAAAATTAGTTATAGTTAGGCAAATTAAATATGGATATTTTAGTAAACCAACAAAACAAAACATTCTTAACAAAGAAACATGACTATATAATCGAAACAAGAAAATAAGGAAAGTCAGCCTATATGAATGAGACGGGTGAGTATTAAACATGGCTTAGTGTCTAGAAAAATCCAATAAGAAATTACACTACTGTTAAGCAGATTAATAACCCAGTAACCATTTTAAAGTAAATTAAAAGAAGTTTTGAGTTCTGAAATCGCAAAACTTGTAAAGTCCTAGGCAGATACGTAGGGACTGAACCATTCGATCACAAAGGTTTTAAGTGTCCTGATCGCATGGCCTCAGTAACTCAGGTCGGTGAGAATTTGTTTGGTGAGAAACAAATTACGAAATTCATAAATTCTAACCTAAACTAAATGAGGAAAAAAAATAGTAATGGGACAACAGTTGATAAAAAAAGGGGGCAAAGTCTAACCTTGAAATGGTCAATGATTGCTTTGCTTGTTTCAAGTTGAAATTTTGTATGCGTGGAAAATATTTTTCAAAAAAATAAAGAGAAAACAAAGAAAGTAAGAAGATGAAGAAGCCATGAAAAATAAGAAGTCGTGGTGTGAGAGCATTTGGGGAAAATATTGGGTATTATAGTTTTTCTTTAATTTATGTTTTAATGGATCGAGTTAGGGGAACATAATAATTGATATAGGAAATGACCGAACACGTATACCTCAAGAGTCAGACATTATTTTATTCATATGGGATCCGCGCACTTTGTGACAGTCAGTCACCCCAAGTGTCAAACATTTTCAAACAAAATGGCATTTTCCTATTTAATTGGGGAAAGTGGATCAATGGCAAATATGGTAAAGTGATCGAACCATCTAACCAATTAGCACCATTTCCTCGTTGGAATAGATACAGAATTCAAAGGGTTGGAAAGTTTTACCCAAATCCTATCCTCAACATTGCCCCAATTTTGGTTCACCCATTGTTCTTTCTAATGCTAAGTGGTGTATTCAGTTTAAAATTTTTAAAGATCTTTTGAGATTTAAAAAGTTTTATTCCATGTAGACTTCTTAATACTTCATACATATCTAGCGATATTAAAATATAGACTTTTATGAACTTTTTAAAATCTTTAACAGTCTGAGGTATTGAATCAAGATTTTTCAAAATGCCAGTGACTTTTAATTATTTGTATAAAAGTATTCAAGATATTACCTTTTATGTAGAAAGTACAAAAATAAAATCTCTAAATTTGTCAATCATTCACCCACAAGATTTTGGTAGATTTTCATTAAAGAATTTCAATATAAAATTATTGTCCCAAATGACCTTTTACCAATTTCTTTTGAAGTCCCAAGTGGTGATTACATGGAAATTAATATACGATTTAGCTGCAATAAAGCAATTTTCGACAATTTGGAAAAGATAGAGACAAACTATGATGTGTGATAAAATTTAAAAGGGCGATTAGGACAAAATGTTCTCACCGTTTACATTTATTACACAAATCGTTTCTACCTTTCCCTGTTTGACAATTGCACTCTCATTTCAATATTTCTTTTTGGAGTTGGTCCTTTTTGTCTCATTTCATCAATCCGTATGCCTTCATTGTACAAAAGAAACGAAGTAAATATATAAAAATAAGTAAATAATTGCAGTTAGAATTCAAAATTTTTAAAAAATATATAAACGAAGTATAATTTTTTATATTATGCATTTTTTTCCTATTTGTCTATTTAAGAAGGATGGTAAATTAATTATTAATAATGCTTTAATGGAGAAAATATACGATAAGGATATTTTGTGCAATGAAAGCAAGCGATAAAAACGTTTTGCACCATATTTGATTGCATGATACGAAAGTGACCAATTTCGCAAGAAAATATTGAAATGAAGGTGTAAATGCCAAATCTGAAACGATAAGAATAGTTTGCATTGCAAACTATAGGCATGTTTTGTACTAATTAAAACTAGATTAAAATCCAATGATCTAATGAAGAAAAATATAGTTTAACGATCTAATTGAAAGTTCTCTAAAAGATTAAAGATTAATGTCAATGGTGTAAATTGTCGACTTTTCTTTAATAGCAAAATACAAAACGACAGGAAGCATCCCCATCCTCGTAGTTATAATAATCTGGTACTTAAATAAGTGGTACATGGAACTCCAAGTTTGACTAGTAGGATTTTTCAATAAATATTGAATTTGTATTTTGAGAATATGACACCAAAAATATAAAATAAAATAAAAAATCCAAAAAATATATACATGTAATTGACTATTATTAGATGTATCAATAAGTGCCGAGTGACTCACCTAATAAAAGCCCGTAGGTAGATCCCAATACAGTCTGATTGATACCTCTAATTATTATACAACGGCATAAAGCTCGGGTTTAAAGGGAAACCACCGGAAACCACAACTCGACTTGTCAGGCAATGAAGGGCACTTGGGCAGCCAATGCCAGGTTCTCCTACTCACCCTGTAGTACAAAATCTCAGGCCATGTGTAGCAACAAACACAAATCAATCCTTGGTGCCAAAAACAATAAACATGTTCATAGTTATGGTAACAAACAGACACAAATTTTCTGCATATCATCTCAGGCAATGTTTCAATCTCCACCCAATTCTCTCCATTTTCTCCCAATTCCCACAACTTTATACTTCTTGAAATCCCACTCTCCCCAACTCCTCCAATCAAATACAACTTCCGATCCTCATCGCTTACCAGTCGAACAAAAGTAAGGCTTCCCGGCAACTCAGTTCTTGATATCTTCCACTTGCCAGTATCGAAATTGAAGCACACAACATTAAAAGGTTCAGGAGTGGTGAAAAACAAGCATCCATCATAGAAAGTACCCTTCTGATAATAGCTATGGCTCAGAATTGGATTGCACCCCTCGAATTGTAGCCAGGATTGAAGCACAGAGTCGTAAACAAGGACGTGAATGGTGGATGATCCAAAAGAAGATTGCATGAACAATTTGTAACCACTTGATGTGGAAACTAGAGTGAGGAACTCAAAGTCAAATGGACATGTAGGGAATTTTATTCGTCGCATAGATTTCGCCAGAAGGTTGCATACAATAAAACAAGACGATCTCGGGATAGAGTAACATAGGAGACCATTGGAACTGGATAGAAGATTTGAAGAAGGTGGACTAGAGAGCATGGGGGGCAAGGACAGTGACATATTGCACCAGGAGTTCAATACAGTATTGAAAAGGGAATACTTGTGGAGAAACTGTGGGTGCGAAAGGAGGATGAAAGGCGAGAAAGGCGAAGAAGAAGACGGCGAATGTTTTGAAATGAAGCAAGGGGAGAAAAGGAGAGAATTGAAGTTTCTACAAGTTGATCTGAGATTCAAGAAAATTTTCAATGGTAGAAATGACAGCACCCTCTCGAGGAGTTCCTCCGGTAACCGGCTCCATATTCCGGGATCCATATCAGTTAAAATCTTGTTATGAGCCATAGTATTCAAAGAACAAGCCTAAATGTTCGATCAGAGAAATATTGGACCAAGCACAAGTTGATTCCTTGGAAATACTTCTACTTTTAAGGAAGAAAGGTGATGGCTGGTATCGGTCTTCTTAAGCCGTCGGACTTATTTGACAAATCATGTATAAACCCTATAAATTAATCAACGTAGAAGATGGAAACAGTATTTTTTACTTCAAAACATGACAAAGGGTTGAGGTGTAATGTGATCGATGAGTGACTTTGACTTGTAAACGAGAACACATAAAAGGTTGAACTCCAATCTTGAAAGCCCTCACCGTCCCACCCTGTCCTTAGAGTTTTGTGAGGAAGGTAAATCACAAGATGTGTTTTAGCAAGTTAAAGAATAAAAGCTGTCTGTACACTGCACCTACAAGGAATCCAATTTCATGTCTCAAAAATCGAACCCTTCACACTATGGCTGTCAGTAAAACATGAGATAATCTCACTCTTATCATTTGTACCACTGGACTATGTCCCAAGAGTCAAGTAGCAACTAGCAAGTTGGAATATAAGATATTATATTATATTTTCAACACTGAAATTACGAAAAAAATGTACTTATTCCGTTAAAATAAATAGCGGATTGATAAGGCAATCATTAGGATTTCAGACGTGATTAGAATAGAAAAAGAAATTAAAACTTTATCGCTTATACTATTTAATACAAAGCCCCTAATTGAGCTCCATTAATATACGTTTTTGAGGAAAAAAAATGTATTTTGAAATAATAATCTTTTTTGAAAAATATGTAGTTAAAAAAAAAAAGGCAAAATTTTGAATTTAAGTATAATATTATTTTATTAAAAATTATATGATCAAAAATAGAAAAAAGAAAAATATATTTTAAACAAAATAGAACCCAAGGGATATATTTGTTTTAATTTCCAATATTATATGATACTATAGGGATTATATTGACTTGTTTGTCAACAAGTTTTGATCAATTTTAGAGCATCTTCAAAAAAATTTAAATACAAAATACTTTTTATTTTAAAAAGTTGATACTTTAAAATAAGCTATAAGAGACTTTCTATTTTAATTTTTTAAGATGAAAAGTGGATTTGAATCTTCAAATTTATAAACCCAAATTCACTCTATTCTTAATGAAAAGTGATTGCATTTTCAATACTCTATTTTTTAAACTATTCAAATTATCTTTAAATTGATTGATCAATGACATATAAAAAATTATGTTAAATAAAATATAATGAAAGATCAATAAATTGAATTTACGTATAATATTATTTTATTAAAAATTATGTGATTAAAAAATAGAAAAAAGAAAATTATATTTTAAATAAAATGGAACTCAAGGGATATATATGTTTTAATTTCCAATATTATATGATATTATAGAGATTATATTGACTTGTGTGCCAACAAGTTTTGATCAATTTTAAAGTATCTTCTAAAAAACTTTAAATACAAAATACTCTTTGTATTAAAAAGCTAATATATTAAAATAAGCGATAAGAGACTTTCTAATTTAATTTTTTAAAATATAGAGTGGGTTTGAACCTTCAAATTTAAAAATCAAATTTACTATATTCTTAATGAACAATGATTCCATTCAATAAGTCACACTTTTCAATACTCTTATCTTTAAATTAATTAACCATTGACATATAAAAAATTATGTTAAATAAAATATAATAAGAAATCAATAAATATTTTTTGAGAAAATCAAAATAAAGAGCTAAAATAGAAGAGTAATACTATTTAGCCCTCACTAAAGTTATAACCCCAATCTACCCTAATGGGACTAAAGGGGTGTTAGATAGGAATTTTGAGAATTAATCTTTTTACGGTTAAAGATAAAAGTAAATCCTACCTATGAGAGAATAATTCAAAAATGACGACTGGAATAATGAAACAATAATCAAAAAATTAATTTTAATTAGCTTAAAATTCTCACCAAATACCCCCTATGTAACATTACTCAAAAATAGAAAGCATTGTTGGAGTGTGTAAAAATTGACTCTTTAAATTTAGAGATGCTCTTTATAATGCATAAGATACTCTTTTATAAAAAAAGTCTCTTAAAGATACTCTTAGTGCTAACCTTGAGCCCCTCTTATACACGTATCTGGCAATGCATCTAACATAACTCATTTCATCTAGAATCCGAGCAACCTTTTATCGCGCACAGGTCAAATCCTCTTAGCCAAGTGTGTCGAGTACACAAACATCCCCATAGAGACATATTTTCTATTTTCTTCATAGTTTTGATAGCATGGTACATACACTTCGTAGGATTTTATATACAATAGAAAGGAAAAGAAACAGAAACCTAGTCGCTCCAGTTATCCTGATCAACTGCAACGGACAGCCCTTTCCCTCGCTGGTTCTGTAGTTCACCAAAGAAGCATATAAGGCCACGAAGCTTCTAAAAACATAACGTCAACAGGCAATCTCTGTACGTAGAATGGTAGCATATAACAGGTTGTAATTTTGAAACTCATACCATTTCATCAGAAGTAAATTTGGGTGGAGACCAGACAAGAATTTGTCTATCATTACCACCAGTGTATAACTCCTGCGACAAGGAAGGCGCAAATTCTTATAAACAGCTTATGAATAATTAAAGTGCAGATATATAGAAAACAATTATTTTCATGCAAGAAAATAGTATTAACAATCTTCCTCGAGATAAATGATGAAATTATTGACTTTTGTCTGACATACATATGGATTAAATTAACGCGACATGAAGGTCACGTAATGGATGTATATTGTTTACAATCTGGTACTTCAGGAACAAAAAATAAAGGTATTTTGTATCAAGTGAGATTACAGTATCACTATCACTTGGGATACGCTTCTTTAGTGTGCACCATTTTTACGAAAAGTAATTAGAATTTATTTATAGGTTTTCTAGTATTTTAAAGTGAATTACCCAAATGGTCACTGAACTTTGTGAAAGGTTTTCACTGGGTCTGAACTTTAAAAATCATGCAATTCATCACCGAACTTTGCAAAAGGTTTCCGAGGAGTCAATAAATTTAGTGGTCCCGTGGAAACCTTTTGCAAAGTCCAGTGATAAATTGAGTGATTTTTAAAGTTCAGTAATCCCATGAAAACTTTTTGCAAAGTTCAATGACCATTTGGATAATTCACTTGGTATTTTATGTTATTTCTTGAGTTGTTTAAATAGATTAGTTAAAACTATAAATAAAGGGGCCTTATGAATTGTATTTACATACACTGATTACTTAAAAAACTACAGCTCCCCCCCCCCCCCCCCCCCCCCCCCCCCCCCCCCCC